GCGGAGTCGAGACTTTTTTTTTGGCTGTTTGCTGTTTTCAACCGCATTTTAATTAAAACTGCAACAAAACGATACATGTTTTTCCTTGATCACAATTTAAAACCTCATTTCGACAATTACACTTTTCCCAATCAACATTTTTGATTCGAAACACTTCTTTGGGCTGGGTTTGAAGAAAAGAGGAATTCTTCATAAGTCTTTATTTACCTAAGCAAATATTTGTAGTTAGATTTTCTTAGTAAAATCGTCACATTTTTTGTCAACAACCAAATTGTCTCTTATGCACCAAAATATGCTTTAGCTTAGAAAAAAAATCCTTCACAAGAATATCAAATGTCTGCATTCCCACTCAAGCAGACTATTAACAACCTACCTACACAGAACATAGCTTAACTTTGCACCACGTTTTTTTTCAATGTCTCATCACATCCGGCCTGTGCATCGAAATCATCTAACCAAACTTCCCGTTTTTTTCTCTCTCTCCGTAAATTTTCAGTTCCGGTAGAAGGCAATTGGGATCAAATGCTCTAGCAAGGTAAGCACATTGATATTCAATGATCATTTATTATACGATTTTTTTTATCATGTTTTTTGTTATCATAAATCAATTATGACATTGATGATGGTTATCATTACGGTGGCTATTCAGACTTCAATTAATCAAATGGATGCTACTTTGAAGATTAGAAATCATCAAGTATGCTTGATTTCAATACGTATCGGTCATGTGAATTAAAGGATGAATAATGATTGAAAAGCTGATTAAAAGAAGATTTTGAATATTTAAACAAGATTTCTAACGAAAATAGATGAACTCAACAATTTTCTTTGGAAATTTTTGAAAAATGTGTCAAAAGGTTGAAAAGAATCAACAAAAAGTCGGCCTTTCAAAATAGAGTTTCAAAAGATAGATTTCCCTTAAATGAAAATATGTTAAAAGATTTGATTTGCATTTAGAAAACCCCTTGAAAAGAACGTAGATTATGAAAAATAGAAAAAAGTACCTAAAAAAAACAAAAGACTCTTCGATATATCTGAATGTTCACTGAATATGAAGGCTTGAAGAGCAAACATATGAAATTGGAAGAAGCTGAAAATTAACTTCGTTCAACATACGACATCTGTGTAGTGACGTCGACTTGAAAAGCCCGTACGAAAAGCGATCGTGTGAACATTGCATATCCTCAGGGGTATTTCAAAAGAAACTTTTCTTTCAAAGCTTCTTCGGTCTCTTCTTTGCTAAATGTTCATATGAAGTTTTTCATTTCTTCGACTTCTCCGTTGCGGCCAGTGCTTCGAGATTTCAAAGCATGCATTACTCACTTTGATGATAGTAAAAAAGCGATAAAATGCACATATTACTCATAGATCAAAGGCATTTTTATGTTGTTTACGTCTTTTTATGACTGAATATTTTCTTGTTTTGACTTGAATTTTGTTTATTTTTCTAAAAGAAAGTGATTTTCACCATTTAGAAAGAGAAAAAAATTCCTTTCTGTTATAAATTTAACCATTTTTTATGACCTAAAGTTTAATGCGATTTTGTATCATAAATTAACTGTCATTTCTTTCAATTTTCAGTCAATTGTACAGATCGTCGAGTTTCAACTCGTCCGGCCGTAGCTCGAATTGTGATACCACCGAAGACATGTACAGTGATGTTAGCTTAGAAGATGTACAAGATCTTAACCACAAGGTAAATATTTTTGAAATGAAACCATTTTAGTGATTGGTTTTCAACGATCTTGTTCTCAATGAAAGCTTTTCATTCATCAATTTAGTATCACGATAATTTCATTTTTCAATTCACGACAAAAACAATTTTGAAAATGAAAAAAAAAATCAAGAAAAAAATATTCAAACTCATTCCTTGACTATAAAATTCATGGATGATTAAATCCATAGAACGAATACCGTGCCTAAAGACTGGGTTCTTTACTGACATCGAAAACATTTTGAATGCATCTTTTAATGCGACAAAAAATGTCGTTCGCATTTAAATTTAGACTTAAAAAACCTTGTATCAAGCTCTTGAATGCCATTTTCGTGCGTTTTTCGTGTGTAAAGTATATTTAATAAGCAAGTAAGCCTTTTTTACAATCAAATATTTGTATTTATTTCATCGAAAAATGAATATTGTTCATCGTTGATTAAAAAAAGCTGAATAACAATAACAAAAACAAGCTGCAAGAATAGCGTTTATTCATCACCGGTTGCCATTCAAAATCATCACACCCGGCGACAGCAGACACGAGTACTGAACGTATGCTTGGCTATACAGACCGTGAAAATGAAAAAAAAATTATCATCATCTTTCTATCAGGAGTAAGTCATTCAATAGCTGACTCAGTTCTACTGGTGCACGGACATCGGACTCTAGTATGAAGTCAGTTAAACCAATTATCTCTGTTGCGATTGACAAACTCAGCTTCACGTTCACCTGCCAAAAATACGAGAATCCCGTTGAGAGTCTGACTTTGTCTTTTCTTTGGGTAAAAGTACCGAAATCCATTCGAATTGTCATTCGAATCGAAAATGAAGCAAAAGTCGAGAAACCATACCCAACAAAACGATCATCGAGAGCAAAAACAATCGAATTGAATAACGTACCGTCAATTAAACGGTTTAAGTGGTTTTAACGGCAATTGGGCTGCGAGATTGCCTCATCAAAGAGTCTGGAAAAAAATGCTGAAAACTAAACTGCATTCGCAAATTGTGAGTCTCAATTCACATACCTACATATTAGCGCACGTACACACACACACACACATCGTACCGAAAAGAAGATTTCATAATGAAGAGTTGTAATAGAGCTGCGAAATGCTCTTTCTAATTGTCAGCCAGAGTAAGAGAGCGAATGGCCGGGCCGTGCGCTCTGCACTGCACAAATCGCTTCATGCATAAATCCAAATCCGAAATTATGATCCATTTGCAGCTCGTGTTTATGCTTTTGTTTTTCTTTTTCTCTCTCGTTTCGAATTTCGATTCATACATTTTTGCATTTCACACGCGCTGATGAAATGATACGAGCTATTTTCTTATTGCTTTCCACTTTGCTCGGCTTATAAATCGCATTTAATTACATTCCATCGCTTGCATTTTCAAATGCACCTTTCGTTTACGCCAGAGATTCGCTCTTTTTTTTCGGTACGTGTGGTCAATTTGGCCGTGTTTTTTTTTTCGTGTGTGATTTGGACGTTTTTTTGTGAATCGAAATAGTGCATTCACCCGCTTTGAGGTGGGTTTGATGGCCCGAGATTTTCCTATCAAGTAAATTGATTTCATGATGCGCTTTAAATTATGAATTCATAATCCAAATTGATTTCTTTGTTGTTTGAGGCTTTAATTTCACGTTGTTTTTCGTGTTTTCGCTCTTTTTTTCATTTTTATTTTAGTTTTCTCGAATCAGTTTGGATTCAATGAATCTTCACTTTTGGTTTGGATTTCTTTCGGAACTAATGTTTCCGTTTGATTATGGTCTTAGATCATAGACCATAGACCAATGCCAATGGTCAATTGGTCTGAGTAATCAAAAATTATTTTCGGAATCAACGTCTTAAATCAGTGAACTGATTATGATCAAAAACTCATTTTTTGAATTCAAAATCTAATTCTCGTTTTTTGACTTGAAAAGTATCTAAATGACGTTTTTTGGCTTCTAAAAGGGTAAAAATCGATTCTTTAAAGAAAGAAAAACATCAACCAAAAACCAAATCGACCAAAAAACAAATCGATCTAAAGCTCCATGATTTCTCAAAAGCCAAAGTTCTATCAAAGTAGCTGTTACAAGTAACAGATATTTTACTTATTTCTTTAGTAAAAGATGTATTCAAATAAATCAATCAGCACAGTCGCATCCAGCATTTCGATTCCTTTGAAACCATTCAACATATCGTTTGTATTGTTTAAATGCTTCGCCGATCCACAGTCATAGTATCTATATATTGTGCCAATTACAACCTTGTAAATGGACACAAAATGTGTGTTTAGTTGGCAAATGTTGCATAAAATCAAATCGACCGAATTACATTTCGATTCGTTCTAAACGTGATCGTTTCGATTGGTGCAATCACCAATCCACCGAGTCGCGATTGGAATATATTTCGTGTGTATGTGAAAACTGCAATTGTTGTGCATATTTCTGTTGTGTTGTGTGTACTTCTCGCTCTTCAATGGAAAAAAAATCAATGGTTTTGAACTGCGAAGAAATAGCGATAATTTTACAATTGAATTGTTCGGGCTATATGGTTGGCGTTCGTGCAAAACGAAACAAGAGACTTTCTGTTTCTGGAAAACAATTCGCGTTGAAAGAGTAACAAAGAAATACAGTGAAAAAAGAACAGAGTAGCAGCAACGAATATTTAAAAAAGACTAAAAACTAAACGCGCAACAACAAAAACAACAGTTGCTTTAAATCGCCCATGCACCATCATATATGTTGGATAGCCCATTTGCGCATTGAGTGAGTGTGCTTTTCCAACTACAATCGCCCGATATATACACAATTTGTGTGCTGTTGTTGTTGTTGTTTAATTGGGGCCTCTCTATTATCATTTTTCAGTGAGCCAGTGCACGCCATAGACACACTCGCATTCGGTTGCGCGCGAGCGCGCGCGCGCCCGTTCGCGCACTCACATTCGCACCGAATAAAAGCAATTTATTATTTAAAAAGCAGCAGCAGCAGCAAAGTTATAGGCAGGCAACGGGGCAGCCAGAACAACAAACATAAAACACCGTTGCATACGAACACACCCAATCTGTGACTTGATCGGCACTCACACACACACAGACAAAGGGAGATACACACTGAACGCGCGTGTTTGCGGTAGTGTGCAGTAACCATATGATGTTTTGATAGAGAGCAACACTCTAGATAGAGAGAGAGAGAGAGAGAGAAGCACACATACGAGCCTATGGCTCAGTCGGTGTGTTGTTGTTGTTGCGTTTCTTCAACGCCACTCTTCGTTCGCGCATTGTGTATTCAATGAATTGTTATTCAGTATCAGTTTTTTCGTCGTCGTCGGTGCGCATTCGATAGAGTCACCAACCAAATCGGAACTGTCTTCAGTTCAACGACAACATACAAGAAACAAATCTGAACGACAGCAAGAAAAAAAATACGAAATAAATTGTCGCAAAGTGCGAAATTGTTTGGTCAAAAGTAAATTTTCAGTTTGTGTTATATCAGTTTGTTGAATTTTTTCTCCTCACGGTTTTTGTTCGGTGGAAAAAAATTCGTTGCGATTCCTTCAGTTTTTTTTTTTGTTCGGATCTGTGAATTCGGTTGAAACTTGTTTTGACTCATAATATTGGCTGTGTGCCCGTAAAATAAAGTCACATCGCGCAAGTGAAATATCACAGCCAAAATAAACCAATTTTTTTAAAATAATAATAATTATTATTATGTTCGGTTTTAACTGAGCCAGAAATCATTTTTCCGTTTTCTTTGTGTAATTTTTTTGGCGTCGATATATTCTTTTTGTGTGTTTCCTTTTGTGCGGGGTCAACACAAACGTGTTTGTTTTTTTTTTTTTAATTTGTTTCATCGTCAATCGAGAGCAAGTGTTTGATAACATTCTCGAAAAACGTATGTGAATCCATTGAAATCAGTGTATTTGAGAGCTGCATCGTTTGAAATGCAATTCGGTTAAAATTTTGCTGCGGGCCATTCGATTACTGTGTGCCATATGTGGCAGTGTGTGTGAGAGTATGGTATATGTGTGTTTGTGTAAAAATGATCAAATGTGATTTTTTCGACAGTTATGGCAATATGAACAGAACAAGATACTGCGCCTATTTTCTGCGATCATCACGTTTTCTTTTCTGCATCAAATATTTTCTTCTTCTCAACCTTCTTTGCTGCTTTTTCCCCGTCCATCTAGTCAAATTGAAGTCATTTCTTGGGATTGGATTGGAACGTCAGTCTTTCTCAATTCATTTCTTTGGATTCCGTCAATTCATTCTTAACGGCAAAAAAAACATTGGCCATCGAAAGACGGTTATGTGAAAAATATCCAATAATTTTCGAAGCAATACAACGAAGAGATGAGGGAATAAACAGTGAGAATCCGTTTTCTTTTCACATAAAAAAACCAGATGTCGATTCGCAACGATTGTCCTTGAAATATTCCCAGTTCTCATCGACGAAAAATCACTTGTCAATCGACAAACACTGCTGATGTTATTTACATGCAAAATCAGTAGTTGTATGATTTGTTTAACGATAATAATCCATCCCGTGATTCAATTGTTTCGTCTTCGTTTTGTATGTTTTATGATGGATCTTTATTTTGTTTGTTTTTTCGATTGTTTGCTTGATGTAAAGCCGCTCTGTGAATAGGAAAATTGCTTATCGGTTTTGATAGAGTGTCGAAATTATTACGATTCTAAAGCAAATTGAATGAGCAATTCATTTGTGTTGTATGTGTGCGTATCGTTGACGTTGAGATAGAGAGAGCGAACAGAAAGAGAAGGATAGAGGCCAAAGAGTCAGTTTGCTCAATTGATTTTAATTGAATGCGACTGAAAATGCTAATCTTGCGTTCTAATTCTCGAAAAATGCCCATCTTGTGTATTCATCATCGTGTATGAATAAACAAAAGGCGGCCGCCACCGCAGTCGTCATCATAGTTATGTACACCGAACCGAATGTCGGCAAATATTGAATTAAAGTAATATTTTTGTTTGATTTTTGTAGTTGACGTCATTCGCTCGCTGACTCTTCGAAGACGTTTGCGAATGAATACACAGAAAGAAAATGGTTATTTTGAGTCAAACCTTATTCATCGCGTCCGATTTCGATCGGGGATATGACCGGAAATTCGGTTTCTGAATGAATGAAACAGCCGCTGTGGATTTCAATGAAAAATGTTCAAATTTTTTTTTCGTTAATGAAAATGTTTCATTCGTCGTTGTTTAAGAAAAATCTTTTATACAAAGAAAATCTTCCGTTCGAATCAACGGACGCACGAAGCGATTTTAATCGCGTTTGTAAAAACGAACTTTATTGCCCAATGTGTGTAATTGTAGCGATTATCAGAAAAGATGCTACTAGTTTCTAATCGTGATCCGATGATGTTTATCGTGAAGCGAACAACGAGAGATAGGCAGAGCGACGATTGCGAGTGGGAACAAAAACAATGACGAGATTGTATAATCGACTTTCTCGTGTACATTTCATATGTATCTTTTGCTCCATTCCATTACAATGGAAAACGATATTTCCGAATAAGAAAATTGGCGGCATTTTGTGTATGATCTTTTACCAAACGCTGCTTTTCTCATCGTTGTTGTTATCTCTCTCTCTCTCTCTCCTATCATTTCTGCCTAACGGCGAAGCGTCACTTAAACCGATTTTCCGCTTTGTTTCCCACTTTGAAAAGCTTCTTATAAGAACTTGACCGTCACCAAGCTCAAGCTGAAATTAAACGTAACGTGAACACACTCAAAAAACAACAAATGGGCGTTCATAATAATTCATGCGCTTATTCGATTTGAGTTGTGAACGCATGCCGTTGCCTGATCTTTTAATTGCATTTCTGCGGAATTGTTGCCGGTTCATTGAGCATTTTGTCGATTTCCGGCTTTTGGCCAGTGCGAATGACGCGCGCGCGCGCGGAAAAGAAATTGATATAGATCACATTTTGCGCGGCGAGGAAGAGAAACACTCGGAAAAAAAAGAGTAGAAAAAGAGTGAAGTAGAGAGAGAAGAAGGAAGAAGAAGAGACAAAAAAAAAGAAAAAAAATAAGAGGAAAAGAGAGAAAAAGGGAGAAACAGGGAGAAAAGAGAGACAAAATATAGAAGAATACCGCTGAAATGAACAGAGATAGAAAAGTAGAGTGACAAAGGGAAAAACGAGAGAAAAATAATGAAAAATGATAGAACAATAGTGAAAAAGAAGAAAAGATGGATTCTCGCTCGTTCGCTCGCTCTAATGAATGAGATGTAGAAAGAGCGAGAATTTCATGCGTGAGCCGTTCCATAATCATGGGCCATGCAAAGAACATGGAACATATCGAGCGAGAGAAAATTCCAAACGGAATTCCGCTCATGATAACAAATTAGCTTGTGCTCGTTCGAGAGCTGTGAACAGTGAAAGCATCATGATGGACCGGCTAAAAATACAATTAACAGCCAAACAACTACAATGAAAAAACGGAAAAATCCACAAACGAAAAATAAACAGTTGGAAAAAGATTCCAACCATTTACTCGTTTGTAAAAATGATTGAAAAATGAAACAATGGTTTGTACGTGCGGAAATGCACACTTATTTGAATATTACCTGAAAGAAAAAATTCGATCAAAAGAGAAATATCTGAGGAGAAAAAAAATCATAGAAAGTGGTTATGCATCAAAATTATGGCTTCTCTTTCTCCATCGGTGTTGTGTACACCATAGAGCACGTAAAGTGTTTCATAATAATTGCATTGTTTGAGGGAGGCTGTGGCCTGTAGCGGTGGTTACCAACACCATTTTTTCTCTCGTTTTTTTTTTGCATCGAATCCGAATCTCTCTCGGCCCTTCAGATCCCCATGTCGCTCTATTGATGGAACGGTTTGGACTGTCGCAAAATCCATCGTTTGACTTTTCAATTTTTGGATTGTTGGACTTACCTACCTTAGAACAGTGTCGGTTTAAGTTTTTTTCTAATCTAGACCAGTTTCTAATCTAGACCAGTCTCTACTCATGAATCGTGTGGACACGAACCACCGTTTATACATTACACGAAACGCCTAAAGACAACAATAGAACTGATAGCTCAGCTTTGTCGCAAATGCCAAAGATCACCGATGAAAATACGAAGGAAAAAAAAACCAAACAATACAGCAAACATAATAAATGCAACGCACGAAAGATGATAGAAATGTTTGCATGCAGGCTGTGTGTGTTTTTTCTTCTTTCGAATTCATTATCTGTTGCACTTGGTGTTCGATTCGATGCACACTGAGAGAAAATCAAGTTCGACTTTCACTTACCAAACACACACACACACACACACGCTCACATATTTGATTTCCACAATCTATTGCTTTGCATTTGGGCGAAGCGATTTAATGCTTGCAATTATGAATGATCAATATGATCGTTTTGTGCAGGTGAAATGTACACTAGCTGTATGAAAACAAAAAAACCGAACGCATACGATAAGAAAATTGGCCTCACATACACACACGATCCACGACGAATGATAAGTTACAAATGACACTCTCTTTCGTTGTGTTTTCGAATAAACACTTTCTCAATACATCACATTGAGTGAATCAACGGAATGGGCCGCTCGTTATAATGGAATCGGCGAAAAACATAGCATTGCAAACACTTGGCTCAATCGTTGATGAAAACAAAACCAAAAAAAAACGGGAAAAAGAAGAAAAACCGCATCACAAATTTATTCAAAAATAAACTTGAATGGCAAATCTCTCGGTTTGGGAATGAGATGTGTGTTCACACACTTAAGCACATTTGGTCATTTGACACAGTTTCGGCTCGGCGCCATCGTTTTGCTCGCAACAAAATACCGACACATCGCATTCTTGAACAACAAGACGCATAATTTATGTGTTTCATATTTTTAGTTAAACTACGATTTGGATTTGGCTAGTTTTGCTACAGATTTGACGCATTTTCACACAAACTTTTGACTCTTGAGAAATAAACACAAGGGATTTTTGATACACGTGAATTTTAAACAGTGATTGAATAGTTTTCAAAGTTTCTGTTTTTAACAAGAATTTTTCTTCTTCTAAAATTTGAAAAGAAAACCGCGCAAAGAAGAAAAAAAAACGCTGAAACAAAAAAAATCGAACCAAAAATCAGAAAGAAGAAGAAAAACTAACGAAAAAAAGATCGAAATGAATGTCAAAAACTGGTTGCATTTGGAAGAGTTGGATACATAGAAAAAGAGTATTTTGATCAATAAAAAAAAACGAAGAAAAAAAATCTTTGAACAAAAAGAACAAAGAAGCAAAGAAAAAAACACGCGGTGAAAAAACGCTAAAAGTGTGTGTTTGTTTGTTTGGTTTGTCGAGCAAAGAATGACATCGGCATCAGGAGTGCGGGCAACAGCGGATGTACCAAACAATAGTGAGCCCGAAAGTCTCGACAGCCTAGCCTACGATGATTGGGAGGGTCAATTTGAATTTGTTGGCAATAATAACAACAACAATAACAATAGCAGCAGTAGTACGAATAACAGTGACACGGCCAGTACGACCAGTGATGTGGAAGATTTAAATTTGGCCGCACCCAATAGATATTCCAGCGTACAACACAATCATCATCATCAGCACAATCAGCAGCAATTGTTACGGAATTGCCCGATTTTAATCGATGAAGAAACATTCTTGAGCATGCAATCAAGCGATGAACCATATTCAACATTGCTACCGGAACAACCGAATCAATTGATCGAAAACGCTTTGAAACACTTACAATTTGACAATCGAGTGCCATCAATGCCCCATAATAAATTGAATAATTCACAAAATCACACAAACACCGCCAATCAAATCGATGTAAATAATTCGTCTAGTTTAAGCATCAACCACCACAACCACAACGAAAATATCATTGCGATGAAAAATCGACGAAACTGTCAAACACAGCAAAGCGACAGCAATAACAATCATAACAGCTGTTGCCATTCGGATAACGCATTTAAAATGTCCGATATGAATTTTGCGCATGAGCTGTATGACTCCTTGCTTAAGGAACAAGTAAGTGACAGAAACGCGCGCACGCACGCCACTTTGGTCAATGCACAAAATAGGCTCGGCAACCGGTTAGACCGTTGCGCTGGCTCCCCTAAGGAAAAGAAACGAACAGAAAAACAAATGGCAAAATTGTTTTGAATTTTTAATATGATGATGAAGCACCCACATGCTCCCGGCATCTTTCCCTCCGTTCCCTTTCCACGTTCATTTCAATTCTCATTTTAATTCTTTTCATTTCGTTGACAGTCCGTTTTGCAATTAACATTGCTACTGCTCATGGTTTCTTTAATCAATTTGCTGTTTTTTTTTTCATTAAAATTGCTCACCCACGAGAGAGCATTCCAACAGCACAATGGTCAGCCAATTGAAAGGGGCTGATTTGAATCATCACCTCGGTTCAGCTATTTCACACATGTCATGTTGTTTGAAATGCTCCAGTGAAATTCACTGTTCAGCATTAATCACACAACACATTCCAATATGTGTGTTTCATCACGCTGTGAGCACGATGCTTGATATCGCATCATTTACATACTCTCTTCGGCTCTCGCATTTACATACCGTACACTTTGCGAGAGATGTTTGCCCAGTCAACGATTACACAAATATGTATATCAATTTCTTTAAATAGCTTCGTTCGCTCGCTTGCGCGCACGGACGCATTGCGATTTCAATATTCGGCTATCGCCACTGGTTCCCGACACACACGCACACTGTAGATGAACCATATTCAACATTGCTACCGGAACAACCGAATCAATTGAT